GGCTTCTTTTACTTGACCTAAAATTGAAACTGTGTTTCCATATTAAAACTGGAATATTTTGTTGGGTATCTGGAGTTGGAGTATCTTGATGCAGAAATTTTCAGCTGGTTATTAAGTCTCTGGTGGGAAAATTTCTTCTTTATTCCCCACTTGCATAATACAAAGTATCTTCAGTATCTGGGATATCATTTGCTCGTTAGCATTTTGTCCTTCATGCAAGTGTCTTCTACAACAGAACAGGACACAACTTCTCCCTGGTGTTTGGTCACCATTTATTATCCAACGAATCTCAGACTAAAGCTGGAGAACAGCTCATGGGCCATGACCTAGAGACAGTTCAATTCAGTAGTTAGGGGAATTTCATGTGACATCTGAGTTCTGTAGATAATTTCTTGGCATGGAATCAAATATCCTTTTCTCTTCTCAGGCCCCTTTAGAACAGCTCCCTGTATCTGCATCAACCCACTCACCTTGCTTACAAAATGTAAATGCTTATTTCCTTCCCTCTCCTGCTTCTCAACAATGAAACAATATTACATATAAAATAAGCTTATTGTGCCATGAAACTCCAATGCATTTCAATGTCAATTGCACAAATCTCAAAATTAAAGCTCTCTGAAATCTCTCCAGGTTTGAAATTGAGATAAAGACAGAAAAAACATTCATTGCTGATTTAAAATCAATGGTTTGTATTTCTTTTGAAGACTTTTAGCTTTATATCAAACTAAACTCTCTCCCATCTCCTACACCGGCACAGACAGATAAACTGATTGACCATATCAAATAGATAACTCAAAAGACAAGCTTTCACCACTCTCACAGAACAAAAGCAATTTCGTCCCTGCAAGAAACAATGTGGTAACAGTGTCCCCTGCCCTCCCATTGCACCTCTGTGCCTGCCTCTGCCTGCCCAATTCTGTCTCTGCATTGGAAACTCTGTAGTGGAAGGGCCTGAAATTAGCACAGTTCCACCTTTCAGGCTGAGAGTCTGCCTGCAGATTTTTCCTCTGATCGAACTAGCTTTTCCCTGGATTGGCTGTGAAAGGCTCCCTCTGCCCAGCCGTGCTTTAAGAGGGCTGCAAAGGCAAGAGCTGAAAAAAAACCCCGTACCTATTAAAGTTCACTGATTTCAGCACTGGGCTCTGGATGACCCACTCTGGCCATCTGTCTGTCTTTTGAGGCAGCTTTTTTGAAAGCCTGCTATGTACGAATAGTACGAGAAAAGGGCTGGCTTTCTACACACCTGCCAAATGCAGTCCTGCACTTCATATAAAATGTACTGCACTAACCCAAGAACAAATAGGTTTACTTAACAAACAAGTTCAAAGCAGGGATAAATCTGTCAGCCTTAAATCATCTGCAATCTCTAACGAGAACATGAGGCTTTAAGACTATGTAGGATAATTTTCTGCTCAGCTGGTGTTCTAATGGGCTGTGATCTTGGCTCTCACAGCAGAGAATCCCTATGAAGCTGAAAAATGGGTGTGCATGGGATCTCACACACAGTGATGTCGAAAGTTACTGAGTCCAGCAAACTTCCATTTCATTTCTTCCATTTATTTTTTTCTGAAAGTTCTTTTCCATGCTCCTATTTAATTTATGTCTGGTCTGACTAGGTCAGGTTGGAAAATGTTCTATTAATGCCTGAGATGGAAGGACTTTTCAGATAAAAAAAATTAGAAGGAAATTATTTCGTCACTGAGGAGTATAAGCACATGGAATTGTGCCTGGGTTCAATTCTGTAGGTCACACATCTACTGCATTCAGTACCAGCAAGATGGGTCCTAAAAAAAGGAGGATTTAATACTCTTTTCCTCCACAGCCTCCTACGTTTGGTGCTTCTCTGCCAGCATCCCCTTTCATGCATGCCTAGATTAGGACTGACCACAGCCTCCTAACACATTTTTAAATGCCATCAAAGAGCACTGAAGGTGTTAGAGCTGCCTACTGCATCACGAAACTCCACTATAAAGTTTCTCTTTCACTTCGTCCTCATTGCTTGCTTTTCTTTTACAGAATGCCCTGCATCTGTCACTTGCCAATGATCCATCATCTTTCCCTAAAAATGTCTGAAGAGCACCTATTTTGTGATTTTTCAGCCAGCATACTCATCTCGGCACTTGTTCAACTCTGACAGTTCTCCGTATGAGTTTGAAGCAGCATATCTTTTTGTTCAGCACCCCACTGAAATGATTCATCATTTCTTTAGCTGCACTTTCTATAAACTGGACATGGTAACAGCATAAACCTGTTGTTTATGTGGCTTACACTGAAAGAATAAACCCCTCATACTTGAGGTCTCTGTCCAAATATACCAAGATTAATACTAAATAAAGCTCATCCTGTAGTCAAGCAAGCCTAGGCTTAGCCATCCTTCTCACTTAGTTCATACAGTACCTTTTTTCAGCATCTAACACAACATGCTGATAATTTTGACTACTTTCTTTCCACTTCTCTTCTGAGTCTCCCATGTTAGCCTCTTATCAGTATGTTCTCATGCAGCGGAGGCACTAAGTGTTTCAGAAAGCAGGCTTTCTAGCTGCTTCGATCATTCTTTCTCAATTACATCATTTAAATGCAAGTTACTGATCATTATAATGCCCTCATAAACCCTAAAATGGAATGTTATTTTACAGACACCAGCCATGAAAGTATTCAATAATGAGTAACATTGTAGGTTTCCATGACACTTTTATAGATATTCCTATCTGTTACATTCTGCATTTGGTTAAATTTAAGTAAAGGGCATTTGTGCTCATAAGTACCCTGATGAACATACTTTCTGGGAGTTAAATAGTAGCACAATTGCATAACCTTTCCTATTTGCTCTAGAAAGTGTATTTAGTGCTGTTGCTCATTAGTTTTTACCATAACTCCAGTACAGACTCTTCAGACAGCATTCCTTTTCAAGAGCCTGCCTTTTAAGAAGCATTTTCATTGCTGATTTCTCAGCTTCTATGGCATAGTTAGCAAGTGTTGCTTAAAGTGAGCCTAAAAATAATTTTCTAATGCTTACTCAAATAAGAGCACAAAATCATGAAAAATACCACATGCATGGATAGCTCAGGGCACAAACATCTGCAGTGCTTTCAGTCTTCCCCCCAGGTGGACAGTTACCTTCCTCTGTACTATTAAACTTGCTATTTTTAGACCTTTAATGAAAAGAGTCCAGTTTAAAATAATGCATGCCAACTGTATCTTAGGTATTTCCTCAAACACAGTACAAACACAACCCATGGATAGCACAAAAAACATTAAGTGCCATTTTATTTAGTACCATCTGACATGATCAAACTTCTGTTACTGGAGTCTTTAATTAGACTCAGTAACTTTAGTTACATCATAAAGATGTAGCTACAGGTGTTCATGCAGTTCTCAAGGAGATGGAATTAAAAGAAAAGCTGACACACACAAGGACTAAAGGAGAGAGCAAAAGTGGTGGCTACATGGCAGTGAAGGATTTGTACAGGTATTTAATTGATTTTGAGAAGAAGGTAGGCAGACCTCAAGCTAAGTAATACTGAGACAGCTAAATAATAAGTTAGTCACATTCTACTTGTTAAACAGGGTAAAAAAAAGATCTGGAAGGGCTTTCTGTGTATATGAAGGGACCAGCAGAGATAGACTAAAAGGAATCAGCAAGCTACTACTTGTATAAAGTTTGGGCCAGTTATTATTATTATTTCATATTACTAGAATCATTTGGGTTGCCACATGTATCACAAAGAGACAAGTCTTTTAGAACTTTAGATTAGAACAAAAAACCCCTGATAATATGATGGTCGTCTTACAGATATACAAAACACATTAAATAATTGTTCCCATACTCCATGAATTCGATGGATTGGATTATTAGATTGAAGATGTTTTTCTTAATAGAATAGAATATAAAGAGTGTTGGCTCAGTTTTCGACCACCTGCTGTGATGTTTGAAAACAGTGAAAATGCCAAGCTGAACTAAGAACAAAACCTTTGTGCTAGTCTACGCTGATGACAGAAGAAATCTAATGCAAAGAGGTACTTCTGCATCCCTCTGCATAAAAGACACTTAGTATCACACATCAGGGTCATACAGCAGGACTATATCAGAATCTTATAAACCAGAAGAGATAGAGGTAAACATATATATATATATATATAAATTCCACCTTGATGAAAATGGAAAAACACCACGTCTAATCAGAAATTCTATTGTAGCACATTGTGAATGCAGAAAGAATGCCTTAGGTTAGAATGATTTCCAAACATTTGATTTTGTGAATGTGTGATGTCCAAATACAAATAAAAGCTATTTCATGAATGCCTATCCTCTGCGCAATAGCAAGGCTTGTGTAATAGTGCTGTCAGTCTGCTTTGTAAAGCTCCAATTTAAACTTCATTTACCTATTTCCCATGTCATTCTTTCATTCACTTGGAGAAACACAAGTGTTTGCAATCACAGCCTTCTGACTGCTGAACAGGTTATTAGCATGTAGGTAGTGTGTAACTTAAAGCTGCTTTCCAGCAGATAGCCATTTAAAGTTTTACAGGAAATTTTATCAGTTCAAATGATGTCCCAAACTAGGGTAAAAAAGATGGGTGGTGAAAAACTGTTTGCCTGGGTATTTCTGTGAGGAACCACACTGAAAAAAGAAAAATAATTGAAAAAAAAAAAGGCAGTTTTTGCCTTCTATGTCTGTACAGGAAGGAAACCCTTAATGACCAGTCTGCACTGTTTCTGCAGTTACCTTCTGCATGCTTCAACTTAAGTTGCAACTTGTACGTGTATTTCCTGGGCTACCATAAGAACTTCCAGAATTAGAGTCAGCCTAAAGATCACCGTATATGAACCACAGTCACTGGATTAACCTGCTTTCACCTAGGCTTTCTGCTTCACTAGCTCATCTTTCATTGTGTTTGCAACTAAGGTGGCATAAGGAAATTGCACACAGAGCAAAGCTCTCTTTGGATTATGTACAGTGTCCCCCCAAAAGGCTCAGAATTGTTTTACTGGATCTCACCTCCTCAACCATGTGCTTGACTTTCTTCTGTTGGCAGTGGACCATATCATCCAGATGTTTGATTCGCTCTCTTAGGCTAGCTGCTACCTCCTCCAAATGCTGTGATCTAGCAAAACGTGGAAGAATTAAGCATATGAGTGGAAATCTATGCAATATAAGCAAAACAAGAACAAGCTCCAAAACCCCACCATAAATCAGGAAGACCAGGTCAAGGAGTAGGCAAGTCATATTCTGCTGACAGATGTCGGTTTGTCCAAAGTACATTTTAATGGTAGTCTTTTAGCCGAAGTGCTGTCTCCACCCAAGTTAACCCACCTTTGTCTCACATACTGGCATGCTTATTCAGAGCCTGAAGTGCTGACACTTAAACAGTGTGACTAAAGCTCATCTCCTTAAGATGTCTGGTTTTCCTTGAAGTGAAAAGCATTTACATAACTAGATCTTTATCACAGAATCACAGAATAGTTTGGGTTGGAAAGGACCTTAACATCATCTAGTTCCAACCCCGTGCCATGGGCAGGGATGCCTCACGCTAGACCGTGTTTGCCCAAGGCTCTGTGCAACCTGGCCTTGAACACTGCCAGGGATGAAGCATTCACAACTTCCTTGGGCAACCTGTTCCAGTGCCTCACCACCCCCACTGTGAGGAACTTCTTCCTTATATCTAATGTAAACTTCCCTGTTTAATTTTAAACCCATCACCCCTTGTCCTGTTGCTGCAAATCATTGAAAGAAATTTATCTTGAGTTATTATCACCTGCAATCTTTTCGGAAATGCATACTAACTAAAAGCCAGGAAGCACATCTGCTGGCTTCCTTTTCAAAGCTCTCCCACTACAGGATTCAGAATTCTCCCACTACAGTCAAGGATTTGGCACGGTTGCCAACAGTAGCAGAATACTAACTGGAGTAGTATTAACTCATCAACAGCAGGAAGTGTGGTGAATGTTTTAAGTTTGTATGAATGACTCTTTAGATAGATTCTGCATTTCTTCAAATCTGTTTAACACAGAAACTAAAGACCCCCAGAACTCCTGACACAAGCTGGTTTGACAGCTTACCAGAAAAGTAGTTTTAGAATACACAAAGACACAGGAGGGAAATCTTTTAGTAAGTTTTGGGCATGTTGGCCACGGGAGCCTCCATTTTTATCTGAATGTACAATTCTTGCAATTTTTCAAAGAAAGCAATTGCTTACAAAGTAAACTTTTGTACTCCTAGGTGGAGGACTGGGCAGAATTTGAGAAGTGGAGGAGGGGAATCAAAACCAAAAAGGCTCTTTTCATCTTGGTCTGTGCACAGCAGAAGAAACTGTTGAAGCTGCAAATAGAACAATCATTCGAAGGCAAAGCAGCAGATGGCAAACTGTATGACAAGATTTCAGTGCATGACTGGATTGTAAGCTGTTTCCCCCCAGAAAGAGTCTCTATTAGCAGTGAAGTACCCTGCAGAACCATAACTGCAGCACTTCGACAAGGATTCAAAAAAATCAAGGCATTGCTGCAGGTTTTTCAATCCTGCATGTTAAGGTCTCACAAAACCACGGTTTACATTTTGATTGCAACTGTGACACATATTTGGGCTCTCACTGAAAGAGTCAGAATTTTAAGCACTGATAGCAATGGAGCAATGTAACAGAGGTCCTTCCTCAGGTGGAGCTCAAGTGCCTGGTCAGGTGCAAACCCACAAAGAGCATTTAAGAACTTCAGCATTGCACAGATTGCAATGCTGTGCATCCTTGCATTGCATGAATTCTTGTCTGAAAACTGCCTTTACTCTTTATACTGCAGCATAACTTTACATGCTGAGTGGACAGGGCAGGATTCACTGAAGCGAGAAGAGTATCTGTTATCCAGAGGCAAAGGAAGAAAGCAATTATCTTTCATCTCCATATTGTATGTTGTATGCAATATCTGCTCACTTTAAATTATTATTTTAACAGGCTGCTGTGAAAAGCTGTTATTACCCTGAAACCAGATAAGCTGGTCACAGATCAATACAACTAGGCAGTGACATGCTCTCGTCAAGGACCTCCTTTTACGGTATGCTTCCTAAAGAACAGTGGGATGCCAAAACGTTAAAACTTTATTTCTGGTGCCACAGAAACACAAGTTGTTATCAAGAACAATTTTGCAGTCTCTGCTTACAGTTCGTCTTTACCCACTCAAGTAGTGTCATATAAACTTTTAAATGGCAGATGCAATTTTCACTCAAATGGCAGTTATGCTTTTTCAGTGCTGGACAGATTTCCCTTGAAACTCTGCCTTTGGCTTTGCTCGAAGCTTTCTTTTGCCCGGTCATGATGCTCTGTCAGTCTCAAAGAAATAGTAATGGATGCACAAGCCATCTGTGGGCAGAAACAGCACATCCAGGTGCCCCCACACTACTAGATCTTTCTTCTAAGCTTCATGCTTTCGAGAACAACCATTCACAGAGGACTCACTGCCAGTAACATTGCCCTCACTTTACCCAAATAACTTTGTAGTTTATTTCTTCTCTGTGATGCTACGTGACAGATTTCTTCCACACTTTCATGTTGTTCATGTGCATATGCACCACGTGTAGACCAGCCCCTCCAAGCCTTAAATATATTCCCTGCTTTCCCTCTTTTACAAAAAAAAAAAAAAGACACCTCTGGCAGTTACATCCAAAACTGTTGCTCTCCAAGAGTTCATCTTTCCAAAGAGGATGTCCTGCAACTTAATAGAGGATACAGAATGTCTTTTCTTTTAAAACTGTGTTGGGCAGTCTAGAAGGAGATAATGAAAGCATTCATAGTCAGGATCACACTGTGCTGAATTTGTGATTACAGATTTAAGAAAAATACAATCCACAAATACACCAAACTTGTGTTTAGTATTTGTATTTTAGATACAAACTTGTGTCTAAAAATCTAACATGTACTCTGCATGTTTGCAAACAACTTTTCAAGAAAGATGCATTAAAGTGGGGGTTTTGTTGCAAAAATTAATCCCCTTGATATTTTACGTGTAAATAAACTTACACTCAGATGGACAATCCCTACCAGACTGCAATTTTAAAGGCAGATAAAATAAAATTCAGGTGTCTCCAAAAACGAATCAACCAACCCCTAAAGTTTCTCAGCAATACTAGAAGTTTCACAGACAAAAACATATCTCACCTTTCACTGTCGGAGTTGTTTTCAGATTTTGCTCCAGATATTTGCATTTCATTTAGTTCCAGTTGTTTTTGCAGCTGGTGACGTTCCTACACAAGAAATGTTATCCTTCAGTTCTCCGTGTGTCAAAACATAAAGGCTTCAGAAAGCATATTTCATTGCAATTCAAAAGATCATTTGTGAAATTAAAATAGAAACTGATTAAACAAAATTCATGAAGAAGCACAGGATGCATAATAAAATCAAATTCCCAGCTATGCATGGAAATCAGATCAGAGGTTCCAATTTCCTATTCGAAGATGTACAGTTGTACTTGAAACTGAGTTTTTTGAATACAAAGATGAGTCATCACAATCTTTAACTACATAAATGTAAAATTTTCCAAGTTATCCCTCCAAAAGGATCTCTCAATCCAAGGCTGAGATTAAAGGCATTGCTCTATTTTCTTCCCCAAAATATTCCTGTTTAATTTTCAGGTGTCCACCAGCACAGCACCTGTGAAAAATCTGTGAGGCTTTGGGGACTGAGTCAACACAAACTAACAGAGAGGTCTGCTGTACACTTTAATGGGAATTTAAGAGGCATTCAGTTTTATTCTGCAAGTATGGGCCAAATAAAAGCAAATTAAATAACCAATGTGAAGAAACTCATCTGTACTTAAGAACTATACTGCAATCTTTTATTCACTGCAAAATTCAAGTTATAGGCAGAAGCCCAGATTAAGTTAATGGAGCTGCTAAAGGGACATATTAAGCTGAATGATTTCTCAGTATAATCACTAGTTCTGCTAATAGATTTGCAAGCATTAAAGGGGCTCAATACAAATGCACATTAGACTAACCAGTAAAGTCAACAAGACAGGCTTATAAAAACCTATTTCTTAGTAACAAATATTTATTATACTAAGTTAAAGCCAGTGAAAAAACACTTCACTTGTAAGAACAGAAGACCATATTCCTTTCACTTACTAGAATGCTCTCTGCTTCTGTATTTTAGATAGCAAAGCACAGATCTTTAAAGATAATGAGATGACTGCTATTGAATGAAATGAGAAATGCCAAAGTACATCCAACAGCACTGGAGTCTTCTGGAAGGGATGCTCTTATACTGTCTAGAGTGACACTATTCAGTCTGAGGACTAAACAGGAACATTCATTAGGTTATGAATGATACCAGAAAACTAAGGAAATTTCACCATAACTGTCGGAGACAGAAGATATAAAGTTTTTTCTGGTATCTGAAAAGGTTCAACAATGAGATTCAGATGTGGTATACTGTGCAAAGAAAGGCCCTTTGATACTCTTAGGCTTAAGAATACATTAAAATAATAATAATTTGATGACTAGTCTGAGTTTTGCCCTGGAGCATAGCCCATAAAAGAGAAGGGAAATAAGGAAATACAAAGCAGCAATGCAGAAAGTGCTACAACTAGCTTTACAGAACTATCACACTTGTGTCACAAGAGGCAAATGTCTCAAAGCTTTTCTCCTTTCAGAGCTTTAAAATTAAATTGTCAAAAACTTGCTCTCAGTTACAGTTTGGTAGGGAATATTTAGCCAGGAAGAAGAAGAATTAAATGTTTTTTAATTTTAGCAGGAAAAAAAGAACCTAAGTTTTGGATTAAAAGGCAGTAAAAATGATTTTTTAATTCTTTCCTCAAATTATTCTGAGCTATAATCTAAATAAGGTAGATATCAGCATGGAAGATTAAGTTGCTGCTAGATACCAACAAAAAAAATCCTCAAGACACTTTAGTGTGAAGATTTCAGTTTAGCATTTCATCCCCATGTGGGGAAATTTGGAGATACAATTCCAATCAGGACTATAAATAGCTAAATAGAAATATCTATTCCTAACTAAACTACATTTTAATCAGTCATAGAATCATAACTGTTTGGCTTGGAAAGGACCTTAAAGATCAGATCAAGATTCAGTACTGGAAACCTGCTCTAAGGCCTGCCCGGAGCATCCTCTTCTCCAGGCTGAACAAGCCCAATTCTCTCAGCCTGTCTTCACAGGAAAGGTGCTCCAGCCCTTTGATCATTCTTGTGGTCTCCTCTGGACTCGCCCAAGCAGGTTCACACCCCTCTTGTGTTGGGGTTCCAAAGCTGACAGTACCCCAGGTGGGGTCTCACGAGAGTGGAGCAGAGGGATAGAATCCCTCAACCTGCTGGTCATGCTCCTTTTGATGCAGCCCAGGACATGGTAGGTTTCTGGGCTGCAAGCACACACTGCTGGGTCACGTTGAGCTTCTCATCAATCAACAACCCCAAGTTATGCTCTCAGTCAGTTCCTCATCCATCCCCATGCAAAACTCCATGCACTCCGTGAACCTACCAACAGCATTTCTAAGAGACTTCAAATCATTACGCTTAGGAGACCTTGCACGCTGAAGGAAGACTGAATGGTCTTTTGAAACTCTTTATTTAAAATTAATGGTTAATTTAATAAATAAATTTTGACACTTTAGGCAGCCCTGACTATAAAGACCACTACAAAGATAGAAGAACCACTTAATCATACTGTCTTCATGGTAGGCTAGGTCCATTTACTTATATGGATACATGGTATGTCACTGAGCAGGGTACTGAGCAGCAGAAAAGGGAAAGGGAAAAAAGAATCTAATTTCCTCCATGCACTTCTGTATTTCCTATAAAGCCGGCAATTGACTAACTCCCATACCTCTTCCATGCGTTCAATCAGCCGGTCCAGCTCACCAATTCTCTGGTCTTTTTCCTGTATGCTTGTTTCTGTAACCTGCATCTTCTTATTTGCCTCTTCAATAGCCTTCAGAAGCCGATTCGTTTCCTCCTTCAAATAAGAACATTTACAGCCACATTAACATCCCATAGAGCCAGGCTAATAGCTTTCAAGCAGAGCTCAAAGCTTTTCACTGTATTTGCCCAGAAGTCTGGAAAAGTTGGGACCCTAAAGGTGAATTGTATAGAACAAAAGATCTGGGGCACTTTGAAGTGCATATATAAAGCATCGTTGTGAAAATCTGAGAAAAACTTTTACCCATTTCTTAGATATTTGTTTTCCCTTCTGAGGATGCCATGAAGTAACAGCATAAGAAAAATATGCTGCTGCAGAAGATAGCATTTTAGACACCAAAGTCTGCTACATTCAGCTTTGTACTTTCCTTACATATAAACCAATATCAGTATCAAGAGACTGAGGAATCTACCTTCAGTTTCCATCATTATCTATCTTTATCTGTTAGAAAAATGCAATGACTAACTGCTCATAGAAAGGTTTTACTTGGGAGTGGAAGGAAACCAGGGGACAGGAAGAGTTCTTCCTCCAGTAGCATTCAGTTAAGTTGTTCCCTCTCTTCTTAAACTACCACTAAAATTGGACATTTTCTTTATTTATTTTTTTTTAGAGACAATTAGAAGTCAAAAAAACCCAACTTACTCCATTTCAAATTTTGAAATCTACACTATCATTACTGTTACTGTGTTTGAACACATTGTTTTCTTAGCTCTTCAACCACAAAAGCTTGGAAAGCTTAATAACCTTGGCATGACTAGTTCACAGAGACAGGAGGGAAGGAACACACGTCAGCTCTGGACTATGAAGTGATTCAGAAACACCCAAGCTAAGCACCACTCTTACAGACTGGTTGTACATACTAGGAGGATTTCTTTTTCAGCTTTATGTTTCTGCTCCTCTTCTCGCATTTTTTCCTCATACTGACTGTACAGCTTTCTTGTCATCTCTCTCATGACTTCAGCATTGGCTTCCTGCGATGATTCCACCTATGAGAGGAGAAAGTTGACCTGTCAGAAAGTACAGCACTGCTGGCAGCAGGAGGAGTGAAGTTCACATGATGTGAGAGTAACACTTTGAACTTCAGCTCCACCTTGTTATAAATTTAACATGCTGAAGCAGATTTTCATTTGCATCAAGACCACTTACAACACAAGTAATTTGAATTTGCAGAAGTTACCATTTCATCAAGTTTCAGATTGTCTGAATTTAACTAATCATTGCTTATCCAAGACCAGGCTATGACTCATTTCTAAGCCCTTCCATAACAGACTGCAAATCACTTGGTTTGTTTCCCCATTGAAAAGATAATTGTCTCACCCCATTTTACAGAAGCATAGATTAGATATGGTCTAGACTCGACTCTTGTTTCTAAATAATCATGAACCTCAAAGCAGTAATTACTTCACGCTGGACTTAAGCATGTCTTTTTAAGTAGAAGACACTGTTGTATGCTCCCTCCTCTCCCGTGCTTTTTCACATACTGCTCTTCGTGTAGGCACAAGAACTGGGGTGCCCATGAACAAAAGCAGATCAGGGAACAACCAGACTTAATATTCTCAGGGGTGTGGAAGGGTTAATTTCTAACCACATGACCAGAAACTTTACTACCAGAATCTACTAGGGAAGAGGGCAGGAATGGTAATTCAGAGACAGGATTTCCCCCTTCTGTTGGCTGAAAACACTGAACCACACCCTCAGTGATTAAACACCAGATAGGATATTCATAGCTTAAACCCATCTACTCTGTAAGCATCAATAAAATAGCTACTCCAGGACTTAGTTCTTTTACTGGAGGTGCTATAAATCAGACAAGATTATAGTGAAATGCTGTGGGTCCTACAAAAAATGTCAGGAAGAGAAGGAATACACTGTCATGTGGGAGAAGAATAAAGTGCTCTGGGCTGATCACTACAGTTCACACAACTTTAAAATACCTGGTTCTGATGCTTAGGGGTTTGGTGTTGTTGGGTTTTTTTTAGGGGGTGGGTTTGGGTCTGTGTGTTTGTTTGTTTGCTTGTTCCTGGGTTTTTCATTTTCTTGGTTTTCCATTTCAAGGACTGAAAGATTTATTAAATCCCTGTGTTTACCTTGCATGGTGGGAACAAGCTATTTTACTACCTTGTATGATAACAACAGTGTATGTCATCGTGAAAAGAGACTGAGCTCTGAAGAGCATTACTTGTACTGCGGTTGCCCCCTTTGGCATCTCACCTCGACCAACACTGGTGCAATGGTAGCAACCTGCACCTTGCAAGAGGGAGTGGAGTTAGTTCTCAGTACAACATGCAACCTTCCACATTTCAAGAAGCCTGAAATAATCATATCATTCAGAAAAAGCCAAGAGTGAAAACCCAGAGTCCTTAAGATATACTGAACTGGAATATGACCTTTGGCACTGTCTCTCCGTCATGCCTTTGCTTATAGCTTGGGCAATGAGGAGAGTAAAAACAAGCATAAAAAGGTAGACACATCAGGGCATGTGTTATAGGACTCTTACGCAGCGTCTCCAACCGCAGTGATTGTTATGCTTGTATGAATAAACCAAAGATCCTTAATAAGATACATGGGTGTGTTCTCCTACCCAGAAAAGAATCACAGCATATGGTAGTTACTGCTTTTCAACTGCTAAACCCCCAGATTCCAAACCATCCTCTTACATTCATCCCTGGAATTAAATATCAGATGTCTTGGCAATTTTATGTTTAACTTTCAAAGACAGCAATGAAGTACTTTATCCACTAACTCTGTAATAAAACTGCAACCTTGAGGGCAAAATTTAAAGTTTTTCCTCATTAAAGCAGGGCATATATTCTGCAGACCTTGACATGCTCAAAGAGAAACAAATCCTCAGGTATTCAGTTGAACTTGGACTTAACCTGTGGTTCTCTGCCCTTAGGAGCCAAAACACATTTTTCACTTTTAACCATTCATCACTAAGCATGAATGCAAGTCACTAGAGAGCCAAAAAGAAACATCTTCTCTGAAAACATTAAACATTAATAAACCAGCAGTCACCTTAATTTCAGTGTCAAATCCTGATATAGTCCTATATCCAAATTAGTCTATGTTGAGCAATTTAAAAGAGATAAAGGTTTCCAGAAGGTTTTTTGCTTGCTTGGTTGTTGTTGCTTTTGGTTTTGCTTTTGGTTTTGCTTTTGTTTTGTTGGGTTTTGGTTTGATTTTTTTAAAATGAGATTAAAGGATTACATTTGGCAGATGAGGGGAGAAAACGGTCAAGCTATCCGGTATGTAAAACCTTGCAGTTTGCATTTTATTCCCATGCATTTCTCTGAAAGGAATAGCTTAATTCTCTTTCCAAGACACTTGCTGTTACAGCATATATCTATGGACCACATGCTCATAAGACTTAACAGACTACCTAGTAAAAATTGTGCAATACCTAAGAAATTCATCATGAAGAAATTCATATAGCACCATGTAGAGTTATAAAACACCTTTTCTTACAGCAATGGACACTAATAACTACTTTATGGTTTGAATTTTCACCTGCCAACATCCCTGACTGATAATCCTATGCTATGGAAAGACTGACAGCTGCCAGCTGAGATTCTTTGTTATGAAAACAGTATTGATTCACAGGAATATGTCAGCTCTAGGGAATGCTGAGGGCATGAAGAACGAAGAACGCTTTACAAGTAAGACATAGGAATTCATTTCACATACTTCTAATGCCCTTACTGTGCAATATTTTTAGGGGAGTTTATATACCACACCTTTAATTTCAGTAGCTGATTTTCAATTTGTGCTGTTTCCAGTTGCTTTTGCTTCTCTCTCAGCTTTTCCATAGATTGTTCATGCGTATGTTTTAAATTCCTTATTTGTTCCCTTATATCAGTGTTCTCCAACGTAACGTCAACTAGGGTTTTCTAGAGGAAAGAGGCAAACCATATATTAAAAATCACAAATAATTTGGTGAACTAATACAGCCAAGAGATTATGGAACAGACAGAACATTTAGTTTCTTGATGTATCAATGCAGTGGGAACAATTTTGCATGTTTTAACATTTAAAATTATAGCTCTAGTTGTATTTTATTTACTAGGAGATGTTTCCATGAGGAACATGCTTAGTGAAATCAAGTCCTGGAAAACTGTAAGAAAAAAAAAAACCCAAGGAGCATGGATATATTTCAGTATGAATGCTACTCCCAGCAATCTTCCTTTCTTCTCTCCAAGGGCCATATTATATATATTAAATCCATTAGACTAGGAATATTAAGTTGTTCAGCTCAGATACCTTTCAGTCTTTAACACAGAAAATTCATTCCCACCTTCTCCCTCCCCCTGCATTTCACAGGTATGTAAATTCTCACAAGTGTTTAGCATTCAAACAGGCCACTTCCATATCTGTTAACCAGTGAAGGCAGGGATCAGACAGGAGATGAATTTGTTTTGCACAACACAAAACAAATCACATTTTCACCGTAGGTATTTCATAGAGACATGCCTATTGACGTTACTCTGCTGCAGATCAGCAACTCTTTATTGTACACTATTTTTAATAGGTTTTTAAAAACACAGGTGTTGGAATTATTATTCTTTTTTTTTTGTCTTTGCTTCCTAAATTAGCTGCCTTAGATAGCCAAGACAGTACTTTATGGGCTTGTTTAGTGTTAGAATCTAGATTTGTCATCCATGTTTTATCTATGCTTTTAAATCCATGTCAGAAAAGGCAGTTGTCAGCTGTGAAACAGCTATTAAAATGTACCTGCAAGTCTATTGATGCTGATGTCAAGGAGCTGTTCATTTCACTAAAGCTATCTAAGGCTGCAGCCTGCACTCGCACATGATTCTCTAAGGATTCCTGATGAGCATTTGTCACCTGAGCAGGAAAAAAAAAATAAAAATTATATAAAATAATGATCAAGTTTACCTATTCTTTCAAAGGGAGCTACATAACAGAAAGACCCCATGGTTAATTTTCACAGTACTAGGATGCTTAAAATATACAGGCCTCAAACCATATTCTTGCACCTCAGAAACAAACAAACAGAACTTAGCATCCAAATACTCTAACAGAAATAAGGCATGAGTATCTATGTTTATCGCTAGTCTGTAATTGCTGTAAAAGCTGTTCTTTTTAAGAAGGACAAGAGGATATTTAGCAGATGGTTACTCAGAAAGCTTATGTACACAGAGCGGGCAGATTTTAAGAAGTCACAAAGTGAAAAGCAGAATAATGCAAGAAATGAGGAAGTCTAGAAAGGCTTGGGTGAAGTGTGGAATAGCCTTAATTAAGAAGGAACTGACTAATCAGGTCTGCAAAGAAGTAACATCAAGAAGACTTAAGGATGAAACAATAGGAAGAAGGTAGGAGAAGTCACCAGAGAGCTTTGTTGTGTGAAAATGTCATCTTCTGTTGTGTACAAACACACACACGCTTAAAAACTGGAGGGGGGTTAGGGATGAAAGGCACAAACTGACATCATTTAAGAGATCAAAACCCAAACTGTGGAAGTAATTATCAAAAATCCAATAAAGAGAAACAAATTGTTACTAATGGAGGCCAGCCCACCTTGCATTCTTGGATGGACCAGATTTGTTTCTTGATAAAAACATAAGAACACTGGGGACTGATATGGAGAACAATGAATGTTTAGTAACCAAGTCATACACAGATTAGATCAGCATAAGGAGCAGAAGCCAAGCAGTTACTGTTAACCCTATACGAACATGTGCTTCTGTAAAAACAAACAAACAAAAGCAGAAATGCTTTGGATGGATTAAGAAAGCTATGAGATAAGAAGCATACTGCCCAGGGCAGTATATTGGAAGTACAAATTGCAAACAAACTTTATGAACAAAAAGTAGTCCTGGAAATTGATGCGAGAAAAGCATAGTGATTCAAAGCTGAAGCAGAGTATATAGATTATTTAAACAGGATCCCCAAATAGCATGAAAGATGGCAGTCATGTAAACCTAAAAACAATCAAAAAACCCCCTCCCATATATTATTAGGTGGAACAGCGCTTGTGCTTTCTTACAGGCAGTCTGAAGTATTAAGTAAGGGGGAGAGCATCTCACAATGTGCTATTTATGTCAGAAGGAGTACTTCATAAACTGCTAATTTGCTGCAGAACTAATTTGCTGCAGATTCTGTCAGAGCTGGTCAGAAACCCTTAATTAAGAGAGATGTTCAGACTCATGTAGGATTTTTACTGGTCTGACAGAAAGATCTGGAAGTGCCGGGTATCACCACTGTGATATATACACCACGAACTGTTCGGTAAGAATCAGCAGCAAAGACAACAAAACTTCACCTGTATCAGCATTTGCCTGTGTGCATGCTGGGTGGGAGACTCGCCTTGCTGGCATCATTAAGATTACCTGACAGTTTACAGAAATGAAATTTTCTCTTCCTCCTCCTCCTCTCAATTTAGGGTGATTTTTTGTGGTTGGTGGTTTGGTGTTTTTTTTAAATTAGTTGCCATAGAGGTACCAGTTTAACAGCAAGTTCTGATCTTTACACATAATAGAGCACGCAGAGAACTGACAGCCTCCAAATCAGGACGGCAGAAGGGCACAAGTCAGGGTCTCAGTCCCCTGAAGTCAGAATAACTTTAATAGCCAAAGCTTCATCTGAACCAGGGCTGTGAAAATCAATGTTGAATATAAAATCCACAGCAAGTTTTCAGGGAGATTTTTTTGGACCAAAGAACTCAGCAGTTTTATATGAAGGATACTTACTTCTACAGACTGCAGCAGCTTTTATTGCTAAAGCAGCATGTCAGAAGAAAGAGAGGTCATCAAATAAATATTGCAAGGTTCAATGAAGAACCAAAAGGTAAGTCACTTTTAAATGAAGGTAAATTCAAGCACTTTAGTACTAAGAAGCACTGCCATTTCTTTCACTATAGTGCTTAAACAATGAAGTCAGTAAACCAGAGCAAAGTCTGTTGAAATGACACCAAGTTGCACTTTACTCCTAATTATGTCAGTTATTTATTCAATTCACCTGGCAGCTTAGTGGTACAAACATCTCCAGTAATTACCAATACACACAGACAATGCTATTAAGATCATTCTTTTATTTCCAAGCAGCAGGCAATTAGTAACTCCATATATGAAAGCATCCCTGTCCTACCTTACCTTACCTGTGTGTGTGTGGGGGAAATAAATAAATAAATAAATATTCAGATGTCACATAAAACAATGAACTAGAATGGCTTGAGAAATTATTTCTGTTCTGTTGAAGCAAAAAAAAACCCCTCAAACTCACAAAATCTCTTTAGATAACACTTGGACAGTTATTCTCATATGCCTTACCTCCAAATGACTGCATACTTACTTTCAGTTCATTTGTAAGCTGCTGTATTTTTCGTTTCATTTCATCATATTCACCATACATTTTCTTTCTCACTTTTTCCAGAGTTGCTCTAACCTGGTGTCAGAAAAAGATCAAATACCTTTATCAAACTTATTGATGACATTATTTATACTAGGACATGACTTCTTTTTTTTTGCTATGTTCTTCATTGCTACTTTCGGTAATTTCCATTCTTAATTTACCTTTTCATCAACAACAATTTACTCTTAAGAACAAGACAGAAACTTAAGTCTCAAGACTTGTCTATGTAGGGCTGATATGAATAAACGTCTCTGAGTAATTCTAAACTTCTCTGTGCACACTTAAATGCTTGTAGATTAATAATTTAAATAATAAATTATCCCTAATTCATTCTAACCTGATTACTAAACAAATTAAAATTAGTATGAGCATATGATGTTTTCATTCTGGGGGAAAAAAAAAGCATCCACACATGGATTTAACACACCTTCATACTTTTTAAAATGGTTAATTAGTTTTCCCTGAGTATCCTTTGAAGATAAACTCTGTAAGACTTCTAGGCTCGTATCTAGCTAAACAATATATTAGCATAAATTTACCAATGCATTTTCAAATCTGAAGAACAGAGTACTCAATTTGATTTTATTTAAGAAGCAAGGATGCAAATTACACCTTGCTTTCCAAAAAAAAAAAAGGGGGGAGGGATGGGCAGGGAGGGAAAGCATGCTGGAAGGCAGCTCGGGTTCACATGCCACTGCAATCATGCACACAACCAACCTTCTCAAGAGCACACATTGTAAACACTAGTTAAATGTTTGCCTACAGTCTACTTCCCAGCTATATAATTCAAACTCCTCTTCCTTCCACCCCCTATCAAACACAGACTGATTGCAGATAATCCAGGGCAGTGAGGTTACCTCCTCTCTGCATAAGCTTGGGGAAAGTGCAAGGGGTAAACGGTAGAGCCTTACACAAGAGGGGACGTTTCTAGTAGCTCTGCAGTATACCCACTCCCTCCCAGAAAGAGAGGCATTGGCCACAAAATCTATGCAAGAGGTAAGCACAAGCCTACCCCAAGCTACATGTTCCCTTTAGGATAAGAAACACGAAAGATACCTGTTTCCTGCACTTCACCTTAGAAAAAGCCCCTCACCCTATCCCTACCTACACATACACACATCCCTATCCCCTTCTTGCAAAGTGCATGTTTGACTCAGGTACAGAGGAAACTGTCAGCAGTTCTGACGTGGCCCATCATTTCTGGTCTGAGTCTGCACATATGTGGCATAAGCTGAAGACTTTGTTTAAGACTACTTTTAAAGATGAAACTTATCTGGCAGACATTAAGTTCACTAATTAGCATAGCTGAACACAGCTTCCAGGAAAGAGCAAGGGCCAGTTCGTCTCTTCCCGTATCTTTCCCATGTTTCCCTGAAAGGATTAGTACCTTGAACACACACACACAAGACATACAGTTCCCCTGGTCTGACACATCTCTCCATGCCACAAGCCAGCTGTGAACAGCAACAGGGCAGCACAGGGAGCTGGACCTCATGCAGATCCACCCATCCCTGACACCACCCCAGCAGGGCAGGCAAATAGCCAGGTAGGCAACCAGCAGCAGAGGCAGCTCACATGCCATGCCTGCACTGCAGTAGTGACATACCCTAACTGTGAGTGCAGAAACTTGAGTGTGGTGCATGCTAGGAGCCAACAACTGTGAGCAGCAAAGGAGAGAATCAAGTGCTGATAGCTAGAGATCAGGCAGACTCAAGAGCACACACCATTACAGTCTCTTACTCTGCTGGCTTGACTCAGTGTTACTCCCTTTTATATCAACTCAGTTTGCACTTGCGTCAGTGTAACACATTGACCAATAGCTTCCTGGGTGGTGAACATGGATGGAAAGAGAAGGCCAAATTATTTGTCCTAGGCTAATTAGGGGGTTATTTCCAAAGCCTGACAGTCAAGGACTGATGGTCAAAGAGATGCTGAGTTTCAAGCACAGAAACCAGCAGTATCAAAAATGGTTTTTTTTCCAGGAGAGCTTCTGCCAATTATGATAAATGAGCATGCACAGGGAAAGTAGTACAAAGTCATCCTTATTAGGCTGACTATTTTAAGGCTGCCCCAAAATATACCCAAGTGATTTTACTGTGTCACCTAATTTAGGAGCCTTCTCAAAACTGGGGGATTTGGGAACAAGGGGGAAGCAGAAGAAGAGAGGAGAGAGTTTATCCTTTAAGGTGTCTGCCTACATAGTTGCTTCTGTATGACATTTGAAATTCTGAAGGCTTCAGGACAGGAACTGCAGTATCTGTTTGACAGTTTGCTTGCCCAGCTGAGGCCCAGTCAGCAAGCATTAACAAGTATCAGATGGCACAGAGACCTTGAGTCTGGACTGCACAGTTTCCAGGTACAGAGCATGCTTTTTTCCCAACTCAAATACTAATAAGACACGTCTTCAGCTTAGACTAGGTTCCCATTTCAAATTCGGGTGTTGGGCTAGACATCAGCCATCCCAAATACACCCACAGCTCTACAGGAATGTATGGAAAGGATATTTGACAACTTTCAAAGCTGAAAGCTCAACTCACTTCTTTAATGTAATTCATCTCCTCTTTCAGCTGATCAGCTGACCAGCCATAAACCACCATTTCTCTCTTATGGTTGTTGTCAGTTCGGTGCACGACGCCATACACCATCCCATGAGAGAGCTTCCCTGGAGACATGCCATTAGGTACATGGTAGAGCTCCTTAAAAATAGAAAAATTAAAAAGTTATTTTTAAGTCAGTACTAGAATAAAAAGATAACAAACAAAAATACAGTAACATAGGGCCACAGGAGACAGGCAACTATAGTGAAAGTACAACAGTACCTAAGATAGTTCCCAAATGTTTTGGGGCCAGACAGTCAACCTGTATGGTTTTAGGAAGATGAATTAGACAGAAATGTCTAATTTCCACTGGCTTTAATGGCAGTAATATAGGTATGGCTAGAGACAATGTACTGGATTTGTGGAGGGAGAGGTAAAGGCATGTGAGAGAAAACGTTATCCTGGCTTCCTTTCATTCACCAATAGGCTACTAGAAAATGTTCTGCATTCTTCTAGCTCTCACAGTTCCCTTTAAACTCTTGCAACCACAGAATTGCCCCTCACTCCCCAAACTCCCTCCCGCAGGAAATATAAAAATTCACAAGTTTAATCAAAATGTTAGAAAGTTCTCAGAAGAAACTGCATTAAAACATTTTGGGCAAGGTCCCTTAAACAGAGCTCAGAAAATACTTGTTTATCTTGGAGAAAACAAAGTAGAATTTCAGTTTGCATTTAAAGCTAAATAAGGACATCCAAAGCAATCAAACACTCACTTCAAGGCCACACTGCTCTTATAGAAGTTGTAGAAATGACATTGTAAGAGCCAAAGCAAAGCTATGAAACAGCATTTATGTGGGTATGTCAGTGTTATTAACTATTGTAGGAGGATAAAAGTTTGAAATAAGGTCTTGATAGACCTGATAGAAAGACTGTTTTGAAGTGCCTACATTTGTTATTTTAGTGATCTCCAGAAATTTGTAGATTTCTTTCTTTATGTCTTTTTTTTAAGGCACTCTTTGCAACAGACTTCTCTTACTCATCTCATCAATATACTTAGTAACAAAAATACTCATTCTAACAGTAGGAATCATTTCCCCCAGCATGTAAATAAGTATCTGCAAGGTCAGCTGGAACTACCTGACCCAACTATTCACCTCGCCTCCCTCCCAATCAACCCAGAGAAACATCCTTCTGTAGCAGTCATCTGAAATGAGTCAGTCTCCAGAAGAACTAATTTCTTCTCTTGATTACAAAGAATTTAAAAAGATAGCTTAGATGAAGACATCCACATTGTGATTTTTTAAAAAGGGAAAAAAATATTCTTACATAACTTTGAATACTTGCAAACTAGAAACCTAAAATTAGGGATTATTTCTGAATAGAAAGTTAGAAAGACACAGTCTTGGAAATACAGTTGTTACTGCTTAGCATTGCACCTTGTTTTTGAAAGGCTGGTGCCGGAGACAAATCAGTCTCACACTGGATATACCAGGACATGGCTAAATTTGGGAATATTTACTACATAGACCTTATGGCATAATCTGTTTGGGTTTGGTTTTTTGTTCAGTAATGACACTGTAGGAAAACCAACAAACTTTGAGATTCTTTACTAAATTAAGAGTCTAAGCAGTGTCTAAATACTGTCTTTGACACTGAGTAGAGTCTGAAAGAGACGAAGCTCAGCATCTTACATCCATCTGCAGCTGCATTCTAGAGAGTCTCCAGTCCTTTGCCATGACTGACAGTGGGGAAAGCATCTGCAGTCTAAAGCAGTACCACTTTCAGTTTTTAGGAGCCAAACTAACACAACTATGGTGGCAATGTAAGAATAAATTCTTCTTTGGGTAAGAGAAAAAAGAACAGGAAAATCTACTTGCATTAAGAAAAATGGGTAAAGACAGACATCTGGTTTATATTGTCTCTGCCATGTGGCATTGAGATTTTCTCAACACTGTAAATCCTACATGTTTTCCTTTACCATATCATTAATGGCTTAACTATTCTGCTGAAGCTCTGGGTGTGTGTGCAGGGCTGGGAGGGAAACAATCACAGAGCAGACACCTGATAAAGAATGTTTCAGGCAAAGAACAACAAGGCTATAAATCAATCATTTAAAAAGCAAGCCTTAAAACCACTTAATGGAAAAACACTGGGTAACCAGTGATATCATTTTACACTTGGAAAACATTATATGCAAAGCTTCACATCCTGATAAGCAGAAGTTTCATAATTATGTATTGTTATTGTTTTGCTGTTTGGATGCATACAAACAAAAAGCCCACACCTGATTTTTGAGAGTAGAGAGAATACGGAAACTAGATGGGGACGTGACTCAAAACTTTTCTGTGTTTGTTTGCTTCCAGGGTTGTACATTCTTTGACTGTGTCATCGCAGCTCCTCCCCTGCATATGTATAAAGGGATTACACACAAGTTTCCATCTTCCTGATAACCAAAAGAATAATCACTTTGATTGTTTAGAGATTACTAAGACACTGAATTCATAAATCCATACCCTTTGCCATGACCATTCTTTTTTTATGAGATGAACAGCTGAATACCATCAACTACTAAGATCCTTTGTGCCTCCAAAACATTGGCAGAATTGTTTAAAATGCTATTTACTGAGTTCTGTATGAAAATTATGAGCAAGTTCCTTATTTTTAGAATATTGTTAATACATTCCTAAGGAATGTGTTAATTTGAAGGATTCCAGCCCCCCCCCCCCCCCCCAGGAAACAACTACAAATTCAGACCAGTGGGCTTGCAGCTAAAGAATCACCCATGGCACTTACATATATGTTTCACAGAAACCAGACAAATTTACATCATAATGGGCAGTACATGCAGGATTAAGTATGCACAAAGCCAGACTAGGTACTTGTCTCTTGCAATAATACTATACTTCCCAGTTGTTCATATTGCACAAGACTCCTAAGATGCCTCTGCCACTTCTCTTTCAGAAGATTAAAAGAACCTCCATTATCTGTTCAGTGTCCCAGTTCTAATACGTGCTATTTAAAATACAAGATATTGCTTTTACCCCCCACCCTTATTTCTCCTTCGTAACACAACCCCCAGACAAGCACCTGTTAAAATTTCAGTGCAGTTCTTGCTTGATTTAAGGCTGTGCAAACCAACAGCTATACAAATAACTGTTCCAATTTCTTCAGTCATTTTCCTTGCTGCTCTATTTCAGATATGCTCACCTTCTACATCCCTGTTTCTCTGGTTAGTAACTCTTAATTTCCACTTAATGACGACTTGTTTCAGGATTCAGCATATGCCCTGATAAAAAAGGGCTGACCTGATACAGCCTCCTCTTAGAGGAAGGGTTACAATCAGAAAACTTTGCTCAGTGCAAGTTTGAGAGGTGGATGGGTTGCTTTGCTTGTTGACTTGTTTTTAATATACCTTTGCCTCTAAAGGAGGCCTTGCCAACTGGCTGTTTCTCAAACTGCTCCACAGAACTGCATCATTAAGTACTCTTTGAGTATGCTTTCTGCAGTTTGTCTCCTGTCTCAAGCTACTTCCACCCACCTTAATTTATTTTCCTCCCTTCAGTGTTTTTTCTTTTTCTGCCTTGTCCTCTGTTCTTCCACTGTCACGTCTTTTCTCTCCCATGTTTCCTCTTTGACAAATCCTGGAATTTTTACATACTCAAGGACTACAGAATGTTTCTAAGCCTAATACCTGTCATTGTTTTCCTCATGTCCCAGACATATCCACTCTCATAACTCAGACATTTTTCTGAGAAGGTCCTTGCCTGTCTCCACTCTGATCTGCAGCAAGGCATCCCAGTGATGGTAACAGAATAAGTAATGATGTGCAAGTATTTAGGAGCAAGTAAGTAGTGTAAAGCTAACCAGTGCTTGAAGATGGAAGGTTTCACTACATTAGTTAGCCATTCCTGTTTAAGGTCAAAGTATCAGACAGCTCCAGCGAACAGGGAGGTTCTCTCTCCCCACCTGCCTATGCACTTCCTGCACTGGAACAAGCACAATCATTGCCCTAAATTGTGCTCAAAATCCCTTCTAAAGCGAGCTGCTGGTCTGAAAAGGCAAACTTAGCTTAAGTAACTTGTGACTGTTTCTTTGTACCTACAGTCAGTTATATGATAGACCAACATAATAGCAAGAAGACATCATGTTGATGCACATGAATACAGCAGCTTCCAGGAACGTGCTTTGTCTACATTGCAGCAACAGCCATGTTGCACTTGGTATGATCATACAGCATATACTAAAGAAACACAGACGGTGTTTACTTAATATGTAAAACAGAAGCCTACACCCCAAAGTTGCAAAAGTCTTGATAATTGCCATGTATCCTGTTTATGTCTGTGTCCAAGGAAGTGGACCAAGTAGCATGAAACATCTGAAGCAAAGACACTATAACCACAAACACTAAATATGCGTTGTTAGCTGCTTTTTGTATTGCCAATGATTTTATTGGCATTATGTAAATAAATAACACCAGGAGATGATTTGCTTCCCAATGTATCTCCATCAGTTTTTGAAACGTCAGATACCCCCACACTTTACACTTTCTCCCTACCCCGAAATTGGAAGCAGATCTATGGAAAAGGTCCTTTTACCTCAAAATAAGATATAATGACTATAATTACCAGCACAATTCTGGGTTTAGTACTCATCTGGCCTTAAAATTTTGTTAAATCATGCTCTTCTTTACCTACAAAATCTAACAACTCTTCTTTTAACCAGAAATGTTACCAGCTAAGCAAGGCTTTATCTTTTCTTCAACTGCCACATTCCAGAGGTTTCTGAAATATCTAGTTATCTTTTGCTTGTTCACTAGTTATATATAAGGAACAAGGACATCCACATTGTTACTTAGGTTACATATTTTCAGTTCAGTAAAATGACAAATACATATTATTGAGCTCACCAAGGAAAGTTGCTGTGCTCTGACAAAAAGTAGCTGTGTATTCCTCTGCAGCCCACGAAACTTGTGTTACATTTAGGGACGTTTCATATACAAATAGTATTAAAATATGGAATGTATGCCAAGACATAGACATGAGTGTTCTTGGATTCATGATGCTAAATAAGAAGCATCATTTAACACATTCCCAAAAAATAGAAGTGATAGGCGTTACTGAAAGCCATATTCACTCAATGAAATCTATACACAGAACACCAATATTTGTACACTAAGAAAATAAGATTAAAGAAATACAGCAGTCACCACAGAAAACAGGGGAATTCTTTCTGTAGTTTTCATGTAGTGCTGGTTTTAATGAACACGTCGCTTAATTAGTACACATCAAAAATCAAGCAATCAGTGCTGGAGAGGCTGAAAAAAACATGGGCCACCTCTAGCAGGTGAGCCACATTTGTTATGACACAACTTCTGCTGTGCTGATGGGAGTGAGCTGGCAGCAGCAGATCAGCAGAAAAAATCGGCACTGTCCTAAATTCAACATGCACAACTGATCCAGGCCTGACACAAGTTTCTGCGTGATTCTCTCCATCACATACGGGAGCAAATTCCCCTTCTGGCTTCTTTACAGCCTACTTTTTTGCTGCGGAGAAAAAAAATAGAAGTTTGCTATGCTTCCGTATTCCTGCTTAGGAAGCAAAAAGAGATTCACCTCTTGGTTATGATGCTTTAAAAGCATAACAAAATTAAAGAGTTTGAGGATATAGACAGCCAAAGTACCAATTAGAGTTTAAGAATAAACACTGCTCAAACTCTGTTGAAAGCTACAAAGTGACACAAATTTCTAGAGTGTTCTCTCATTTTAATTCCCTTGTTCATGTGTCCTAATGAAAAATAAAAATCTGTTTATACGTATCTCCATATTCTACCCCCAAATGCCTAGCTGCAGCTTCCAGTGACACTTCCGAATTTAGCCCTGACAGTGAAGAAAGGGGCTGATGGATAAAAATAAGCCCAATCCCAAACAGAGACAATACAATTGTCTAATAGCCCTTCATTATGCAAGACAAGGCAGGCTTCAGACATACAGATTTTACATACAATCTGGCACGTACAATAGTCCTTTGTACTTCTTGGTGAAGAGAACAGCCTCACACTACTGTCCTCCATTGTCTGTGATTAACAGAAGTAACGGAACAAAATCAGGAGAGTTTCAGATTCTCGCTATGTAAGTGCTAGCAACTCAGAAATCTTTAGCAGTAGGCTTTTAGCCTGTAAAAAGCAAACCAACCAACCAACCAGCCTCTACTTGTGACTTCAGTTCTCATATGCTTCTTTCAAGGTATCATGCCTAAATATGAATATAAAAATCCAATCTGAGCACAAGCGCAGTCCCCCTTCAGTTTTTGAGATCAACTTCTGCATACCATCTGCCAGCCTTTCACAAAAGGCAGGGAGATGCCATCCTAGTACAGTAATGCCTGCAGCAATTTTGTTGCAACAAAACTGCCCAGCTCCATCACTCTGTTTTAATCTCTTATACTGATTCACTTTTATTTCATGGATGTATAGCAATAAAAAAATCAATCTGGAAATCTAAGGCACTGGTAACAGATATAATGAAATACAGCATACATTTTCTGCTGAACTTGGACTACAATGAATAAGGCTAAGCTAACAGCTACTAACATAACCAATGGAGTGGTGATGTCTGATCTGACCTCAAGCTCCAGGAAATGTTATTGGGAGGATCAGCGCTAGCAAGAGCTTCAGTGCAGTTCACTACCTGATTTTGCAACTGAAACGTCTCTTAATACTACTGAGCCCCAGAAGGATACACAAAAGTAACAAATAGTAAGCTATCACTGTGTCACATTAGGGCAGCTCAAAATCACCTCCTCCTAATGAAAGATTTGAAACAAGAGATTACAAGCAAATGTCATGCCATAGTATATTTATAGTTTTCTGGCATTCCCTCTGACACAGCAAGGTCCCTGCTCTCCTCCCTCACCAGCAGCAGGCAGAGGCAGGGGAGGTTGTCTCGCTCCAGCACTTGTCCTGGCCAAACAGGAGAGCGCCTGGCAGCCAGGCTCAGACTGCCTGATGTGCCTGAGCACCCCACCAAAAACTGTACAAGCCCAAGAATTACCCTGCAGTTCATTTCTGTAAATCGCGCTAACTTCCTTTAAATACATGTTCCATTTTCCATGTTCCCATTTTCTTAATACTCAGCATTTAAAGACAGCTCAAAACTCTAGATTCCAACAAGAGACCTGCTGTTAAATTTGATTCTTGGCAAAGCTGTGGGTTTTGACCTGAAATTATCAAGCGCAAGGCAGAAAACTGAGCAGCTCCCTAACTTCTCTCTGCTATCCTTGTTTCCAAAAGGGGCACTCAGTTCTCATAGGACTGTGCAAGGATTATCTAACATTTGTAAAACCTGTTATTCTCAAAGTGCTTTAAACAACTTCATTAACACTAAGTCAGTTGAACACGGGCAGATCAGCACAGACTTGTAGGAGATGCTTTAGTTTTTTATTTCAATTTTGAAGTAAGAGAAAAGTATCACAGACTAATCAAGAGTCCTGCCTACTCTGTACGTTATTGTGTAATCAATTCAAATACATAAAGCAATACATAGACAAAATCCTATAGGTGGTGCATTACTGTCTTGTTTTAGAGACATGAGGAAAAAAAGGTTCATTGTCAGTGATTTTTTTGTACCTGCTTCTCTGCACTATGACTATCTGTAGGGCTATTTTTCAAATTACACAAAGACCGTAAGACACAAGTCAATGGCACAATTACTCCGTGTTTCTTAATTGCTACAAAATCAACTAATCAGATCCCACCTAGCTCTGAAGGTGGTATGTATGCTTTCTAGAAGTCCTTAAACTGTGTAAAAGTACTGCATTTCGGAAAACTACTCAAATAACATACAACAACTAAATCACATATCACTTTTTTGTCTCAACTAAAAAGGACCCATCTCTTAAAAATCACCGTGCAATATACTGGAATGTAAGATAAACCAGATAACTTATTTAATATCTTTCATAACCACACCTTAACATTCTCTGATATAAACCCCACTTGCCTTTATTTCTATTATGGGGGAAATACAGGTCTCATCAAATACAAGGTCCCACAGAGAAAAAAACCGGTCACATAAGAAACTCACTACAAATTGTCCAAGCCGTATCATTCACACTTCTTTCTTACCATTACACCACTCAGCACAGTAAAGTGAGTAAGCCAGGAGTCAATATCTATCCTCCTCAAAAACAAAGTGACATTACTCTTAGGGCAATGGGCCCATATGCTTAGGCCAGTCTCAGAGTTTCTGCAGATACAAACTGACAAGAGGCTGACAGAGTAAGCAGTGAGGGAAGCTACTCTATGTGCTATAAATAAACACCTATGTACAAAATGAATTATTGCTATTTTATGGTGGCCCAAACTTAGTTTGCATTGGGGCCTTTTTCATCCATTCCGTAAGTAACACTTACAGATCCTCAAGGACCGATTACTCTGCCAGAGCTGACCTTGTGGTTTAACTGAAGTCGGCAAGTAAGTGCCACACAGCAGCTCGCTCGCTCCTCTCCCCCCTGGTGGGATGGGGGGAGAGTTGGAAAAAGGTAAAACCCACAGGTTGAGATAAGAAGAGTTTAATAATTGAAATAAAGTAAAATATAATAATAAAAAAATAACAACAACAATAATAATAGGGAAAAGAGAGAGAGACAGAGAAATAAAATTCAGGAAGCACAAAGTGATGCTCACCACCCACTGACTGATACCCAGCCCAACCTGAGCAATGACTGGTGGCTCCTGGCCAACTCCCCCAAACTATATACTGAATGTGATGTTTCATGGTATGGAATATCTCTTTGGCTAGATCAGGTCAGCTGTCTTGGCTGTGCTCCCCCCTCCAGCTTCTTGTGCATATGGTTACTGGCAGAGCATGGAAAACTGAAAAGTCCTTGATTTAGCGTAAGCATTACTTAGCAACAACTAAAACACTGGTGTGTTATCAGCATTGTTCTCAGACTGAAGCCAAAACACAGCACTGCACCAGCTACTAAGAAGAAAATTAACTCCATGCCAGCCAAAACAAGGGAAGTAGTGTATGAAAAGCTGAGTGTATACAGTATTCCAGCACAAAAAATACCTGAAAAAGAATCTGTATCTTGACCATTTTACTTTGCATTTACTTTTATTGCTTTAAAATGTTTGTCTTTGTGAGTCACTTTATAGTTACATTTCCTTCTGAATACCACCAAGAGATTACTTTAAAGACATCCTACTGGTTTTTTGCTTCCTAATGTCATATTGCTATTCAGACATTGGCTCTGGCAAACTTAGCCAACTTCTTGTTTGATTTTGGTTTACCAAAGTGTAAATGTGGTGAAATTCTGGAGCCTGTCCAGCTTCCCTTTCTAGTCTCTCTCCATCCTTAAGACGAATTAAAAATCATCTACTGTTCTGAAACAGCTCTTAAAGAAGTAGTTCTACACCAAAGCAGCTGTAAGATTCTTTTCGTGTGTACACACTTCTGAACCCTTCTATGCACATGACCTTCAAATCAGTTTTACTTCAGAACTATCTTGAATATTTAATTTTGTATTTCTTGTTAGTACATCACCCATTAACAAAATAAGCTGACACAGCAAAACATCTACGTTTGAGATCCCTACACTTCAAGGCTCAAATCTAGCACACTCTTAAGCCTAGCTGAAACATAAAATCCCCTTCAGGTGAGGATCAAGATCCTGTTTAAAGCAATACCTGCTCTTGATAGCAGTTCCTACTCTTTAATATATAAATATAAAATAATCAAGTCTTAAAAGTATCTCAGTCACAAATCACCTACAATCTCTGTGCTGTTCCTCTACTACTGTCCCGCTTTAAATACAGTTTTGTTGTCCTTAACTGCAAGGCTCAGGCTCAAAGCTCACAGCTGACTTGCTCAGCTTCCACATGTTCTGTGGTCATCTGAGATGACTGGGCTTTGGGCTCCCAAAACAACTAAATCAGCTTCTGTGGATGGCAATATCAGAAATTGACTTTGATTCTCAAAACTTACGTTTTTCTTTCTTTCAGGTTCCTTTGCTCCCTGTTCGGGCTGTGAGCCTTCATCGGGCGGTACAGTTAAGCGTAACCTACAGACATTCATCTGAAAGAAAAAGAAAGGTTTGCTTTTAGATTTGTGTGTTACAGAAAGTTATTTTAATAACTTATTTTGCAGAATGAACTGTACTAAATTCAAGTTTTAATTTAGTATTTTTTACCTTCTGCCACATAGCTGACAAAAGATTATGGTTTTAAAGTTGGAGGGGTATTTAGCTGGCAAGAAATAATCCAAGGGCATCCCCATACTTACATACCTGAAATAGCAAAAATCCATTTCAATCAACAACAGGTTCTTATGTACTCATAAATGACATTGAGAGCTGAGATGACAGAACAACGAACATGATTTTCTAGTTTCTCAGTTCTGTTTGCAGATTTAACATACTTTTAATCTTCAAAGGGAATTATTTAGAAACATAATGCTTATTCTGGAGTGAATGCTGCTTTTCTGTTCAGTACCTATCCAAGCATTTGATCCAAGGATACCTTAGTACTGCAGTTCCACTGAGTCTAAATAGGAGTATTATTGAAATCTGATACATACAAGTTGTTTGTAAAAATTAAGCTTCAAAACACTTCAGAGAACATTTAAGAGTTATTGTTTCCTATCTGATTTCAAAATAGCCATTCTCTTGCTGAGGAAAGAGGCCAATGGGGTTGATACCTTTCCATGCCCAATGCAGTTTGCCTTGCTTTTGGCTGAGAGATCTTTGGCCTAATGCTATTCTTAAAACAACACATTTCATACAAGAAACTTGGTTAAAACTTTCAGTCTTTGTCCTATTCATGAGAGATTTTTGTGGAAAACAACTGCAAGTCCTAAACAGAGCACAGAAAATAATGAAATGAGAAATTTGTCTATTCAAGTTTGAAGCTGTTTGTTGATAACAAACAGGGCTCTTAAGGCTCTTCCTCAAGATGTCTAAAATATCTCTTTCATGATTACTGTAGGCCATCACCACTGTTCTACAGTCCCGCATCTCATCAGATCTAGATCTCTCTCATTTCTCCTACCTGCTTACTCCAGTCATGTGTAATGTGTACCTTCCCTCTGAAATAAACCTTTCCATTGCACTTGCCCAAGCTCACAGCTTGTGTCTTGGTCATCACAGCACTTCCTTTTGCCTTGAAAATGACAAACATGTCTGCTTACAGGCATTCAGAACACAGCAGCAAAGTCCTTTTCACAGAGTCCAAATTTTATCATTTTATAATTCATTCTTCCAACTGTCTCTCATACCAATTAAGCTAATTCAACTTAACTTTCAAGGCTCTTTAAAACACAACCTCCTCAGAGCACCACTACTGAGCATTGCAAGGATTCCTGGTTTCCCTGTTTCCAAACAATGAACCTTTTTTAACTTTAACTTTTTCTTCTTCCCAAGCAAAAGCAATTGGAAGAACTATCTGCAAATATATGCAGCAACTTCATTCTTTTAATTCCATCCTTTCTTTAAACCTGTTAAGACGACAAAAATCAACAGTGTTTCGACTACTGGTATGCTGTCAACTGGATTTAAAAAAATACTACTTTATATTGCTTTACATCTTCCTCTTGGTTTAGTATTTTAGGTCTGCAAGGCCTTCTACCAACAAGAAACAGTGTCCTGAGTCACAGACACGGTTCCTGTAAAATACATTAGCTGTGTCCATATTATAAAGATGATCAAGGTGAAATATAACCTACTCTTCAGGCACATTTGTTGAGGCTACTTTTTGTGCAGTGGGCTCCTCACCAGTAATTCATCATTCAGCCGTATACTAGCAAATCTACAACAAGAAGCCACAAAGTGACATAAACCCCCCAATATTTAGTATAAAAGTAGGTTATGCCTTCATATTTGCTAAAGAATTCTGAAGCAATTAAATGTGTTTTAAAATGATGAATTCTTGCACGTTGGCTTTTGACACTGATTGTCTGCTGTATTTTTCTGAGAACATCAGACTCTCCCCATATACCGCAGAAGCTGGAGGTGCTTCCTGCTTGCAAGTTAGCTATCAAAATATCATAATTAGAAACTCCTCAACTTTGGAGCTCATTGATTCATAAGGTAATTAATGCCACCTTTTCTCACCTATTTATTTTCCATTTCCCAATCTGTTTCTTCCCATTAGCTTAGCAAGGCTCTTTCCTCTTAAAACACAGCTGTTTACCACAAGAAGGGAAGCAAAGTCTGGCATTCCTCCATGTAGGCAAACAAAGAAAGACCAGGCCCATAAATAGGAAATAGAACTGAATTTGTGCTGTGCTGTGCAGGAAGTGACGGATGAAGCCAACTTTTTCTTACAGTGATTTCAAATGAAGGAAAACTGGACTAAAAGAATTGAAAGAATTATTAGAAGAAAACATTAAAAATACCTCAAATAAGTAGAAAGAAATGGAATTGTGTATGATTCCCTGAAGCTAGCAAATGGTTTGCCTGTTAGTCAATATGCGACTAATTATAGCCAACATACTTACAGATTCAGAGTACAATGATTGTAAATAAGTAATTATCCCTGTACCTGTACACAAGTTAGTGAATCATGACTGCCTATCATGTTACAGCAACTGATGTGTTAAAGGGTTACTCTAAAGGAAATCACAGAAGCCCAATACAGATGGCAGTCAAATCATAACAACTACATTGGAAACACAAATTAATAATGGTAATTTGTTGAGACTAAACCACCTGTATGATCAATGGGTTGTTATAATTTAAACTTTTTTTCTTAGTCTTTTCTTTTCACACTGCCTTTTCCATTACCCCCAAAATCACTCCCCCCTCTTCAATTCCACACTAGCTCCTTACTTTTAAAGCACCTCAAATCAGTATCATATTTTTGGCAGTATTTCTGACACAAAAAAAAAGTTCTAATGCTTTACTTTGCAACCTGTTGCATGCAAATGCTAAACAGAGGGTGGCACTGATTCCAGCCTTGAAGTCATACCCACTGAGGCTTGTACAGAAGTGGCAAAGTACCACCCTATTCCTCACTAGGACAAACTTACAGGCTGTACTCTTGCAATCGCTTCTAACAATAGGACTTCCCCAGCATCCCCTGGGAAACAGCAGCAAATGTATAAAGTAGCCATTCACTCCTGCTCCTCCTGAGCCACAGATGATGCACTCTACCTAAGGACAGAACTAGAGACCAATCTGTTAAAATTCAAGAACACTACAGAGACTGGAGGGGAAAAATAACAGGCACCACCTTTTCCTCTAACCTCCAGAAGCAATTACAAATACTGTACCTACGCTGTTCTGCTGTGCAGTGCTTCCTGGAGAAACAACACACTGTGCCATTTGTCAGCAAGTTTACTTGACCAAATGAATGAGCAGGCTCACACGGAAATTGCAGCAAGCCCTCCTCCAACAGCAAACCACTGCTGCAGTGATGCCTTAAAATGGAAATGAAATGGTAACAGGAAAAGCCTCGACTCAGTGCCAAACAGTGGCAAAGTAATGTGCATCTGAGGATGAAGGAGTAATCTCCAAAACCAAATTGAGTTATTCAGAGGGAAAGCTGGGATGAGAATGAAAGAGGACTCCCCAAGCAGGGAAAAGGCTATGATTCAATTTCCTTCAATTGCTGACTGACAGTAAGAACTGCTGACTGACAGTAAGAACAAATGAGGAAAACGAGGGACATGGTTTCCACCCCACCTTTATGTCACTGACATTGTAACTTTGTGAGAATAACTTCAAAAAGAAATACTGGGTAGAAGAAGAACAAGGTGTCAGATTTTCTAACCTATCAGACTTTAGCTTGATTTGCAGCATCTGTAGCTATGGTGAGCCAACAACATAATGTATTCTTAATTGTGCCAACATTTTGTGTTCGCTCCTGGCTTTTTGACACTGACAACCCAGGAAAAGTATTTCCAAAGCTTGTCTCACATCATTTGTGAATGAACACGCAGACAGGAAAACAAAGGCTGAGAGGTTCAGCCCAGCACTCCACTAAACAGCAAAAGTTTGCTGAGTGCAGTGGAAATTGACAGGTGAAGACATGGTCTTTACCAAATTTCTAAGAGGCTAGTGGGACAGCATAGATGAGAGCTGCTGCAGTATGGCAGTCAAGGAAAAAGCCGATCTAGGTTAGTTAAAAATGTTAAGAATTCATGGCCCAGATCCACAATCCACATGCATGTTTACCATCCTACTCATATCAGTAGGGTGCAACTTAAAACAAATACAGATGACAGATTCAGTCTGAGTAATGTTCTTCAGCCTCTTCTTCCCCATTCTAAAAACCAAAGCACCCAAAAAGCCATTGATCATAGTTAACTGTATACTGAATTAATTACCAAGCTAGCATTAAAATAATGAGCAACGTTTTTATAGAGTAACCAAAGTTACTAGTACAGCAACAGAGAAGTACAACCTGTTCTACTAACAACCATTCCCATGCTAAGATTTTTTACAGTAGCCCCACAGGGAAGACACCAACAGATATTGAGCTAGATATTAAGCTACATGAATATTTATCTAGCTTCAACTCAACTTTAGAGTAAACACCACCCAAATCTAATACTGGTGATCTTTCTAATGTCTGATATTAAAATGGTTTGGAATAACATGGTTGTTGAGTAACTATCAGCTAACCTACCAGCTCAATGGCAAAAAAATCATTCTTTCTGCCTAAGACGCGATGTTAGCTTTAGACATTTAAAGGTGAGAGCAGAAAAGGAGTGGATGTTTAATCTCAGTCAGTCCTAAAAAGCAAAGAAGAAAGTACTTTCTTTGGTCATTTATCTGTTGATTAGCCTGCTCCATTTATGAAATCTCTGTTACGAGATTCCCCACACAATTAAAGGGCACTTTTCCTGTGACCACAGGCACACAGGAACGTGACACACATCTTCCATTTATTCGGCAGCTATTCTGTCTCCATCCCCTCTTTTGAAAACTCATGGTAAGGGAGTTACATTTCACTAAAAAAGCAACAGCACCTTCCCAGTGGGTTTTATTTGCAGTTTAGGTTTTACCAGTTTCCTTAAGAGAATGTATCAAACACAGTTCATTTTATATTGTCCCTGAGAAATACATCATGGGGGAT